AAAAGGTCACGGCTGGAGTGGCAGCAGGACGGGCCCGGACCGGCACCGCCAACCGTGTTAAAAGGCTTCAGAATCACCTGAAGGTTCCGCTTCAGCTCAGAGTTATGAGGCAACGTCACGATTTGTTGCTGGAAACCCCAGAAGGTTGTCGGGATAAATATTTAACACGGCGTTGTGCCTGAAGGTGAGCAGCAGGTTCGGATCAAGCAACACGATTATTTCTGCTGAATGCAGAACCGAGACAGAACCCAATCAGAACCGATCTTCTTCAAAAGAAACAGAAATGGTGTCAAACGTTTGTGCAGCTATGATTTTAAAGGGGTAGAATTATGTAAACGTAACTTTTTTTTTTTTTTAGCTCTAAATCATGTCATAATGTTATTTACTCATGAAAAACAAACTTGGAGTGTTGCTTTGATTCTTTCATGCATGTTTGAGAAATCCTTTAATCTCCATGGCAACCATTCAGCTGAGCACAACACCTGGATGGACTTAGCTCCGCCTTCAAGGCGCAGCTCCTCCTCAGATATCGTTAGAGATGATTTCATGAAGGTGGAGCTTCAGAAGGAGCAGGAGCTTCTTAAAGAGACGGAGGCCCAATTTCAAGTCTGATTTCTTTTAACTCATTTATTTTTATTATGTGTTTTCCAGGCATTTTGTGCATAATGCATAATGTACATAATGCTGCCCCTTTAAGGGTATAAATAAATGTTCCCAGAGATCATTAAAGATCATCCTGCCCCAGTACATTTACAAAATCAAACTAATTTATTATCAATCAACTGTGCAACAAAAAATTTGCTGCACAACATAATTATAGCATAACTAATTTATATAAATTTTGCTGAAATTTATATAAAAACTGTTTCTAAGCAGACTTCAGTGTGAAGTTTAATGAAATAATTTAATGGATGAAATTTTGTTCATCCAATTTGAACAAAAAATTTAGTTCTTCAGACTTAAATTACTCTGACGTGAAGGGTGAAAATATTACAGAAATTTGTGCTCATTCAACTAATTTTGTAAAAATATTTGGTTTAAATTACAATATTAAGCTAAAACAACTCATAATTAATGATTGAGTAGGCATTCAGAAAAAAATGTTAAATCATCTTGATGAACTTTAGTTTCTGAGTTAAAACCAAAACTATTTTAGTTTTTACTTGCATCTTCAAAGTTTAATCATCTTCAGATGTTTTGCAGTGCAGCAACAGGAAGCTCCTGTTTTATGCTTTTTTTACCTGAACAGCTTCATGTTGACTCAACAGATTGGAAATCCTTTCATTTGACATTAAAGTTTAAGATCCGTTTGTCTGATTTCTCCTGAATTAAACAGGTCCAACTGTTGTTGCTTTCATTTGGATTGTTGTTGTTTCTGGAGGTTTGGTTGTGTAGATGAATGTTAACAGTTTGTACTGATCGGTTTTCATGTGGCTCATATGTGCAACATCATATTTCACCACTAGATGGAGCCAAAGCATTAGGAGTCGCTGCTCTGACTGGACAGGCAAGAGACGACGGAAACCAGACTTTCAAAATAAAACCAATCATTTTAAAGCTTTTAAAACAAACGTTTTTCTTTTCTGTTGGTGTTTAGACAAGCTCCACAAGGTGGCGCTATTGACAAATGCTTCTCATTTTTCCAGGTTATTCACCAAATTGCTGCAGACACTAAAATTAATATTAATAAAACTTAATAATTTGATCATTAGTTTTACATTATGAAGCAAAATTTTAAAATATTTTTTTGCCTTTAGTTTGTTTCTCCTCATGTTAATTTCAGCAGAAATTAGTTTAATTTTTAACATTTATTGTTATAAATTGTATTTTAACAAAACTAGATTGCTACATAAGATTCCAATTTTAAGCTGGAAAATACTATGTTAAAAAATAAATTAAAAGATTGTTTAAATAAGCATCTTTTATAAATATTTCTAAGTAAACTTAAGGATTTTTAAAACATTATTTAGGTTATATTGTGTTCCATTACATATTTTACACTGAGCTCATAATACAAACCCTTTACTATGCTTTCTTTAAATTTTTTTTAATTTTATTTCTGGTTTTCTACATATTTTCCTAGATGTTTTCCAGACAGCCACACCTGTTTGAACAGATGGAGAAAGTATAGAGAGGCAGTATCTTACCAAACGACTCGTCAACATTTCTGAAAGGTTGTAAACACAACTTCCTCCAAAACATCATTTCTATAACCTCTCTATAAGTTTATATTTTCATACTAAATGTTTTATGGAAGATCTCCACTAGATGGCGCCACAATCGTTAGAAACGTGCCGAAAACCATTTCTGAGCAAAGTAGTTTGCAGAAAAACATATTTGACGTTTTTCTTATTTGTAAAACACCTTTTTAAATAAAACGGGGAAAGATGCAGCTCAGGTTTTTATTTTAATTAATCTTCCTGTTCCTGAGTTAAATGTGACCTTTTTTTCTGTTGATACAATAATTAATCATTTACATGTGTCAAACTTGAGGCCTGTGGGCCAAATCCAGGCCGCCAGATGTTTTTATGCGGCCATCTAGACTCTAAAACCTTCAAGATTAAAGTAGTGTTTTTAAAGACTTTTATCATTCAAATCATCCGTTTTGTTTGTATGATACCAGATTACATGGAGGTGAAATATAATAAAATATTTATTTCAAACATAATATATAAAGACCAAAACTTCTGCATTCAGTTTAAAATGGAATAAAAAGAAGACAAAGCTTGTTTAGTCCAAATATATCCTACATTACAAGTATTTTCACATCTAGTTTTAATTGTCATTTTCTGCTCTTTCCAAATAAAATTATGCAAATAGTTTATTATTATGCAGCCTACACCATATAAGGTGAAAATATATTTAATATGTAAGTTCAAGAGAATACAGAGACAGGTATGTATTTAAATTGTATGTTAGTCAGTAGTTTTATAAATACTTTCTGCAACAACTGGCCCTTTAGAGACGTTCTTGATCTTGTTTTTGCCCAAAATGATTTTGACTTTCCTGCTTTAATATATTAAATGAGCCACTTGCTGCAGATTTCTGATGTAGAAGAAGAAAACTGTGATTCTGTCTCAATACGGCTGAAGATAAAAGTGCAACACATTAAAGCTGCAGTATCTAACTTTGATTAAAAAATGTTTTTTATTTTACATATTTGTTAAAATTTCATTATACTGTGACAGTATTAGACAGATCATCTGCTTTCTCCCAGTGTAAACTAGAAACAACCAATCAGAACCAGGAGGTGGATCTTAATGCTGTCAATCAATCCCCCTCCAGCTCACTAGCTCTCTGCTACACTGCAGCTAGCAGAGCCTGTTGTGAATGCTCAGGCTAGAAGGCCAATGATGGTGGATTCCTGTAATGGTAAGTTTTTCTCCTCCATTAGCACATTGAGGAGTGAATACATGAGGATGATTGACAGCGCTAAGACCCTCCTCCTGGCTCTGATTGGTTGTTTTTGTGCATTTCTTCAGATGACAGCTCAGGGAGATTGATTTTTTTTTCACAGATTGTCTAAAACGGCCTAATATGTAAAGACATATTCTTCATAAAAGCTTCTTACTGCAGCTTTAATTTTTACTTCAACAGTGAAAGTACTGTGAAAAATGGAATGGGTCCAGTGGACCGATCAGTTATGGTCTCTGTGTCGACGTATAAGAAACTGGTTCAGTTTCTCTTCAGCTTCACAAGCGCGACTCTGATGAAAGATTAAAAAGTCTTGGAGTAAAATATCCTTGGACCATCAAATGAACAAAGTGGAAGAGGTTCGACTCGTGAGAGGGTTAGTCATTCGTTTTATCATAGATTCAAAATAGTTTAAGAGATTTCTGTCCACAGACACCCAGCAGACTGCATCGAGTCGCTGACTTCACAGCAGTCCCTCGTACTGAGCATGTAGCGACAGTGGAGAGGAAAACCTCTCCCTAACGGGAAGAAACCTCCAGCAGAACCAGAACCGGGCTCAGTTTAAGCGGCCATCTTTAACAACCAACTGGGGGTTTGAGAAGACAAAGCAGATGAACGGATGTAGGATTATTTTTGATGTTCATCAAAAATAAAACGTTAACAGCAGGAGAGGGAGAACAATGATGGCAGCATCATGTCAGCCGATGGTTCCTCCAGGAAGGAACCACAAAACACCAGAACACCAGAAATATAAAGTTAACAGTTAAAATAAAACAGTGAGGAAAAGTGGTCAGTTTGTCCTGAAGTCAGAGTAACTATGAACCTAAATTATATTCACCAATCAGGCGATGTAAATATTTCAGCCTGATGCGACTGAACATCTGTTTCTGATTTTAGACCGGACCTGGACCCAGAGTTGGTACCGACTTCTGTTAACTGGACCCTGATTGAAAAACAAAGATATGAGTTTAATGTTGAGTTTTATTTCTTTTCTTCAAAAGTTCCACTCGCAGATTATTTTACTAAAAACATTTTTCTCATGTTAGAAATTAAATAATCAACTGTTAGAACTACTTAAAAAAATCAATATTAGGGAATTATTGACTTAAAACAATCTCCTAATCCTGCTTAACAGTTACTTGTATGTTAGTTTTGTATTATACAAGAGTGTGAAGATATTATAGATCAGTAATGGTAAGATTTTGTGTTTTTGCAGTACAACGATGATAAGTCAAGTTTCTCTCTGCTACGCTGCAGTTAGCATAGCCTGTCGTGAATGCTAGTTAGCATAACCATTATTGACGGCGGATGATCGGTTTTCCTGTAAAGGTAAGTTGCTAGATCGCCATTAACGCATTTAGCAGCGAGTACGTGGGGATGATTGACAGCCTGAGACCCTCCTCCTGATTGTTTTTGCATTTCTTCAAACACAATAGCAGCTCAGGAGATTGATCTTTTAACAGATTACTATACTGTCACAACATAGAGACCGTTTTAATATGTAAAACAATATTCTTTGTAAAAGTTAAATACTGCAGCTTTTGATAAACATAACCTTACCTTTAAATGTTACGTAACATTTAAATTACTAAATAAAGCGACATTTAAATATCTTTAAGTTTCCATTGTGAATGTTTCCCTCCTGCAGCGGACTGTCGCTGTCCATGGTGCTGCAGCTGAGACTGCATCAGCAGTCATCATCTGGAGGCTCCCATCGGCCTCCCAGTAGAACCAGCTGGTGTTTCCCTGCCTCATGCTGGTCATTACAGTTCTCACTCCCAGTCTGGAGTTCTGGTGCCGCTCGGTTCCGACCCTGCTGCCGCTTTAAAGCGAGCATGCTCCGACGTCAGCTCCGTCTCCAGACATGTGGCTTCAGCATCCAATGGGCTGATCGGGGCTTTACTCAGCCTCTCCCACACAGGAGATCCCTGAGGAGAAGACCAGCGTAGACCGGGGTTCGCCACGACTCACGCAGCCCTCACGCAACCCGCCAGATCCGGTTCGGAGCCAGCAGATTCCCGTCCTCAGAGCAGATTCCCGACCAGAACCATCGCGTTGCAGTCATGTCTGTGGCGGGACTGAAGAAGCAATTCCACAAAGCCACTCAGGTAAGAGGACAAGACGTCCTGTGCGTGCGCTGCGGGTCCACCTGGGCGTGCGGTGCGGGATTTACTGGATCAATCCACTGGCGTGCTGCAGCATTGCGCCAAAAACAGTCATTCATCTCTGCTGTTTCCGCTCACTCCGCTGCTGGTTCGGGGACATTCCGCTGGTCGTGATCCCGGTTCGGTGCGTCAGATGGTGCTTTCAGGGACGTCAGTTCCTCCCGGTACCCTTCAGATGACATTCCGCCCAGAAAAACCTCCGGAGCTGCGGCTCCCGGCAGCGGCGGGAAGGTGTTCCCTGCGGCCAACCACAGCGGGAACTCCGGGAATGTTACGCAATCAGAACGTGCGCCTTCACGGAAATCCGCTGCTGCGCTCCTGCGGATGCGCGACGTGACCTCTGCGCCCTCTAAACGAGCAGCATCCTCATTATTCCGCTGTTATTAGATAACAAGGTGGCTTCCTTCAGTCTGCCACTGCTCAGAAATGTTGAACCACCTCTAGCTTCCATAGATCTAGACTAGATCTGCAGTCTTCCTGAGCATCTTGTAAAGTTTTCTTTTCTGTGGATGATTTTTTTTTTACTCTTTTTGACCAGATTAAAGTGTCAAGTCTAAAAATAAACTATAATTTGGTAGTAATTAGTTAGTAGCCTGGCCATAGCTTTCTTATGCAATGCTGCTTGTTTCTAATCTCCCTTCACTGCTCCATCTGGGATTTCTCCCATTCACTTGGATTATTGCCAGAAGAATTTCAACTGGGCCAATCAGCAAACAGAAGTTGTGAAAGATGATGCTGCTTTTTTGCAATGTTTTGCAGTCTGCCTGTAGATTTAACATTGGCAGTGGAGGAAGTGAACAAAGCCATTCACTCCATGTTGGTTAGCATTAGCATTTGCATTAGCGTCTTAGTCGACTTGGCTCTTCTATCTATGCAGTGAAGGATGGTTGTTTGCAGTGCAGGAAATTTCCGGTAAGCTTCATAGCATTGAACTGCCGCATACGCCACGGCCAAACGTTAGCAGTTGGCTAATAGCTGAGTATGCAGACCCTTGGAGCAAAGCAGCAGAGCTGATTGACCAGGCAAACATTACATTTACTATAATGTTATGTAACTTTATGGGGAAAATGTACTTAATATTTTTGCTTTGCTGTACTTTTTATTTTTAATTTAGTAATTTTAATATGAAGTATCGCTACTCTAACTTGAGTACAAACTCTGGACTCTGTACCCACTGTGAGTAACGTCTCTGAATGTAGATCAAACATGTTTTAACCAAAAATTCACCAAACACAAACAAACAGCTGTAGTTTTTCTGGAAAAGCGACAGGTTTGGTGTTGATATGTTCTCTTTATTGATTTTGTTTGATTTTTTGTGAGCGTTTTTCATGTTGTTTTATGTCTTGACTTTTATTCTTTGATTTCTCTTGTTTTTATGCAGCACTTTGGGCAGAAACATGTGAAGTTTGACAATAATTTGCTCCAAAGTTTCTCTCGTTGATTTTCCTTTAGTTAAAGTTTAAACTATAACTTTGGAAGTAGAGCTACAGGCTATGGTGGCCGGGATCCTGCGTGTTTTATAGGTGTCCAAAGTCCAACCGGTCTGAATCAAATGAATTGTTCATTAGCAGAACCTGATGCCATGCTGAGAAAGTAATTCAGCCGCTGGATTCAGCTGAGCTGAAAACAACTCAGACACATTTTTTCCCTCAATCTGAAGTAAATCATTTCAAACTTTTCAGTCAGAATCACCAGAATTATTTCTATTTGCTAAATGTCTAAAAGTTAGCAGGAATATTTTTCATATTCAGAAGTTTGCGTACATTTGTTCAGTATCAGAGATAATTGTGTTTAAACTTTATGCTCTTGCTAAGTTTTTTGGGATTTAGCAAAAACGCAACTTCCTACTTCACAAAATTGAACAAAAATGGAGAAGCATCAGATTTTAGTGGTTGTAGTTTTCCTCTCTTGTCTTTGGTAAAAGACTCATTTCTCCTGCTAACTTTAGAGTCACATGTTTATGTTAAGGTTGTATTTACCCAGAATGCCCTGCACTTTAGTGCTTCCTGCTTTTGGAGAAAAGTCACTTCACACCTGGACTGGATTATGCTGCACTGATTGCAGAATATTTAAAAACGAGTTTTTGATTTGTGAAACTTCTATGAAATTTGCATTATTTGCTATTATATAAATTTTATCTTTCTGTTTTCACTTATTTTTAATATCTTCACTGTAATGCGGTTCAGATTTTTTTTAAGTGCTAATATGCCCCTTAATTTAAGTTTCACAAATCAAATAAAGTTTTTCCAAGTCACATTTGGTTTTAAATATTCTGCAATCCATGCAGAATAATCTAGTCCAGATTAAATGGACTACATTATTCTGTCCATCAACATCGGGGTCGCACTTTAGTCATTTCCTGAATCAGAAGCAAACTTCAGCTTCATGGTTGAAGTGAACTCTGCTGTGGTTCGAATGCCAAAGCAGGAAGTGGACTACAGCGCAGGGAATTCTGGGTAAATTCAACCAAAACAAACACACTTGTGTGAGAAATGGCTCTGTAATCTTTTACCAAAGGTGACACAGAAATTCTCCAGCCAGTAAAATTCGGCGTTACTCCATTTTTGTTTACATTTTGTAAAGAAGGAAGTTGTGGTCAGCATCTTCTTCAGAGGTTTTCATGTCGTTTCCTTCAGTGATGCTTAGTGCAGCGCCCCTACAGGAGAGCAGGGGAACAGGTTTTTCAAAGTGTTTGGTTGGTTCGCAGCAGCAGCTGAAAATGTAACAAATGTTGCAACTTTGGTCCCAGTCAAACCGAGTCTATCAGACTACAAGGTGTAAAAACAGACCAAGATTTTTAGGCGGACCAGACATCACAAGCTACTTCTGCCATTAGAGTGAGACTTTTACATTTGTTTTGGTTGTATTTACCCAGAATGCCCTGCACTGTAGTCCACTTCCTGCTTTTAGAGCAGCCTGCAGTCCACTTGGCGTTCACATATGCATTCGAACTGCTCCAGAGTTCACTTCAATAAAGCTGACCGAGGTTTGTTGGTGGAGCAGGTTCACTTTTTTGGTCTGCATCAGAGTTTGATTGTGGATTCACGCCTCCCCAAACGAACCGGGCTGTCTAGACAAACGGACTGGGCTTCAGTTAAAGCGGACTAAACTGGGCCAGTGTGAATTCACCGTAAATTAAGGCAGGACAGTTTGACGTCTTGGAAGGAAAATGGAGCAAAACGAAAGTGATTTAAGACTTTTGCACAGCTGACCAGCGTCTCGGCCCTCCTTTAATAGATCTTAGTGGCAGTGGCAGATCTTTCCTTGCGGCTGTGATCCGTTTCCGGGGTGGTTCTGATTCGGTCCTGGTGAGTCAGAGCGGTGCTGACGGTCGGCTTCGGGCCGACACGAGCCAAACACCTCCCGGCTGAGTCACACACACTCCTCTGCTTCAGCACGTTTACAAATGGCCGCCTGCTCCATCCCGCCTGAGCGGCTCAAACTGAAGCTGGAAGATCGCTCTACCGGTGACAACTCCTTCCTCTGCGTTCAGATTCTTTCTCTTCTGAGTCTTCAGGGATTCAGCTGCAGTACCTGAGGGAAAAAAGCGGCTCCAGACTGAAGCTGTGAAACATTTCTCAGAAGGTTTTGTTGTGCTGAAGCCTAAAATAAGGAGCAGAAATGAATCCAAACATTTGCAAATTGCTGTCAAGTAATTTCTCACTTTGAACAAAGAGCTGGTTGTGGAAACCGGAGGAGGCGTGGGATAGCAGCACAGATTGTGTTAATGGTCGCCTGTTAGAGCGTCCTGTCGGCCCCTGCAGATGTTTCTCTGCAGTTTCAGCTGCTTCATGGTGAAATCTGCTTCTGTCTGGTAGATTTAGTGCAGCTATTTGGCTCGGTGAGAGCAGCGTTCTGTGTTTTCTCTTTGGTTTCTCCTGCAATCTGCTCCTCAAACGTTACCCACCCCCATTCAACACACACACACATACACACACACACACATGCACACGCGCACACACACACATGCACACACACACCCGACAGCAGAATGGTCTCCTCAGCCTGGCAGTCCAAGGACACATTCAGCTGCAGCTTCTTCTTCTTGAAAATGTTTTCCAGGCGTTCAGCAAACAGAATCCAACATGGCGGAATTAGGATTCTAATATTCTGATCCTCCAAACAGATTTCTGCTGGAAACTTTTCAGCACAAACATGCAGGACAAATAGGTTTTTAGGTGCTTTAGTCATTTTCTCATCATAATAGGGCCGTGCTATGAAAATTTTATTTCGAGAATAAAGTCGTAGTATTGCAGAACAACAACATATTAAGGCCATTTTAAATAGGAAAAGAGGTGGGGGACATTTCTGCCAAAAAACTCAAATTTTGAGTTTTAAAAGTGAAACATTTGCAACTTTTCAAACTCTTAAATTTCACATTCTTTAACCATCATATAGTTTTATTCTACCCATTCAGCTTTCCAGTGTTTCAGGAACCTCTTTAGAAATTTGGATTGTAGACGCTAACGTTAGCATTAGCATTTGTGCTGCTGCTACTTGTTTAGCATTCAGATGCTATTTTAGACCAGCATCGCTTTGCTAACCTTTTTATTTAAAAAAATAATAAATTTGCAATCGAATTTTTAGAGTTGATGTAATTAATCGATCGTACTCCGTTCATTAAAGTCCCAGTTCTGTTTAAATCTCCTCCCAGTCTTGTGTATTTCTGTTTTGAGCATCATTCTTGGCAGCAAGTCGGCTCCATATGGCTGCATGTTTTCCTCTTCATTACCGACCGTTGTCTTGAAGAGATTAAATGATTGCACCAGACTCATTGATTTGGTGATTTACTGTTAATTCAAAACAAATCTCTACTCATTTCCTCAATCTTGTGATCTGGTTTCACTGCAAAAACACAAAATCTTAGTCTAACTGATGGTGCAAATATCTGTGCAGCAGAAATAAGAAAAGTGAACTTTCAAGTAACTTTTAGCAGGATATAAGATCTTGTTTAATTAATTAATTCCTTCATATTGATGAAAAAGTCCTAGTTCCATTGATAGATAAATTAACGTATAAAAATGTTTTCCATGTTATAAGTGAAATAATCTACCAATGGAGCTAGCACTTTTTCATCAACATTAATTAATTATTAGCTAATTTATCTTGCTAAAAGGTTATCTATAAGTTAGTTTTGTCTTATTAAACTGTATTATTTCCACTTGAAACTAGACCAGAAGTATTTGGTAAGATTTAGAGTTTTTGCAGTGTAGCTGTGCTTCCTGTCAGGAATACAGTATTTATGTAGCTGGTTTTTACGTGACCCTGAGGAACCAAATGAGCCGCCGGGACTCAGCTGCTACCTGTAGGAGTGTGATTGGCTGCTGGGACACACACCTGTCTGCAGACGTGAAGCATCACGGAGCAGAAAGCAGATTTTTATTCCTGTGAAGAGCTCCTGCTGCAGTAATCTTATATTCAACTGAGCCAAGGTTTGACACAAGCTTTCCCTTGATGTGCACTGAATACTAATATCAGCAGCTTTTTAATTCCTCTGCTCCTTCAGAAGCTCCTTTTATTCTGACCCTTAAAAGCAAATCAGCTAAAATCTCTCCTTCAATATGTAAATCTTGGTTTATGGAGTCTGTTTTCTCATTGTTTGTGGGGAAAGTGTTTTCTGATGGACATGTTGATCTAAATGTGGATGGCTGTGTGTCCATGCGACCCCCGGGGCGGCGGCGGGGTCCCTGGATGTGGTCGGGGCCTGCAGGGCTTCGGCAGATTGCGAGTGTGTGACTCATCCAGACTGGATCCTTACTGGGGCCACTGCAGTACAGAGTGGAACGCATCCAGCTGGGAGATAACAGATGGGGCGGGAAGGACCAAAAGAGCGGCGCTACGAGCCGAGAAGTGAGATAAGGAGAAGATGAGAAGCAGGCAGGAGCAGGTAGGAAGGATTTAAAGAGCGAAGGGATCAGAGGATCTCCAGGGATTTACGCTCCTGCACAACCTTCCAGAAATCTCTCTGCTGCTGTGAAATAAAATCAGAACGCTTTTAATTCACGAGTTCTCCAACTCATGAATTATTACATTATTTCTAAAGTATGACTCAGAATGTTGCAATAAAGACCAACACTGCAGAAACACAGAATTTTAGTTTCTAGTGCAAATATCTGAGCAACAGTTTAAACAAAACAAAACTAACTTACAAGTAACTTCTGCAAGATATGTGAGCCTTTTTTAACTCCTTAATATTGATGGAAAAAGTTCTAGTTATAAGTGGAACTAATCTTTCACCAATATTAACTTAAAATTGCAGTTTGTAACTTTTACGAAAACATGTCTTCTTCAATGTTTATTGAAACTCGTCATTTTGTTGTGAGAGATAATCTGAAAAGAAATCACTTTCCACATCTTGAACTGCCATCTGAAGAAATGCTTCCAGTCAAAAGCAACCAATCAGAGCCAGGAGAAGGGTCTCAGCACTGTCAATCACCCTAATGTAGTCGCTGCTAACTGTGCTAACGGCTAACTGGAGTAGGTACTGGGAGCTCTGGGAGAAGGCAGAGGAGTTTGATCTATTCACAGATTCTGTCTTATACTCTCATATTGACAACTAACAAATACATATAAATGTTGGAATATATGTATAATACGTTACAAACGTTGTTTACTGCAGTTTCCCATTTCTCACTGAAAAGTTACTCATAAGTTGGTTTTCTTTTATTTCAAGTGTTTTCAGTAGAAACTAGACCTAAAATTCTTGATTTTATGTTTTTGCAGTGAACTTTTTCGATTTTAGACTCATCCTTCACATTATTGGAGGATTATGCATTTTTTACATATTTCCATCCCAACACTGAGAACGTTAGTGTCAAACTGGGAACTTGGAAGCACTAAACAAATTATGGGCTCCAGTTTGAAAAAGAACGTTTACAGATTCTTAAACCACCAAGTCAAAGAAGTGAAAGCTGTTTTCTGCAAACTGCAGCAGTCAGGATGGGTCCAACTGCAGCACTGCAGTAAAACTACACTGGATGGGCTCCAGCAGAAGAGCTGCAGGACTGAGCTCCCTCATCAGTCAGGAAAGAACCAGTTCGTTACCTTGGAAACGGCTGCTACGTAGATACCCTTTACTCTGGATTATGTTGGTAAATAGCAGGTTCTGCTTCCTGTTACAGGTGATGGAGGACAGACAGACATTCTGTAAGCAGGTCATGTTGGTTTATCTCTATGGTGGCAGCGTCTTGGTGTGAGGCACGGTGGTGGCAGTAGCAGCATATGTAGACCGTTTTAACAGCCATTCAGCTGCTGTCATTAGCTCACCATCCATTATGAGAATCCATGAGAGGTTTATGGATGACGACTAAAAGTGATGGTGGAGGTGCAGAAACTTGCATTTATCTGATGAGAATATCCAGTGGTGAGCACAACTAAAAAGTTAGCTGTGCTAACCTTAACCCTAATCAGAAGTTCTGCTAAAGCGCTAAAACAATATAATATTTAGCACTTTAGCAATAACTTCTACTAACTTCAACCATGTGTCACAAGGAGAACGTGAGGAGGCTCTCACCAAAATAAGAGCCTGAGCGTAAACGTCTGACTATAAGAGTTCATAAGAGTCGATAATCAAAACTTCAACAAAGACATCAAACTTTATTCAACTGAATGTTTACAAAACAGTCAATTAAATTAAATTTGTTTCTGGAAAAATTAATTTAGGAGAAGCTAAAAGTGCTAAACGATTTCAAAGTTAGCAAAAATGCGGGTGAAAAACTATTTTACGCAGAAACTTTGTAGCGTTCAAACCAAGCAGCAGGGAACGAACCAGTTTGACTCGAAAGAAGAACGTAGCATCTCTGAGCTTCACACACTCAGATGTTTTCCTAATTTGCTTCTTTGAATCCACTCTGTTGGTTGGAGAGTGGATTTAATCAAGTTAAGTTGGTCTTTGAAAGAAATTTCTAAAACCACAGTGAACTCCTCATCAAAGTCTGGCTGTTTGGAAGCAAATGCTAAAGATTGGGGGTGAATACACGGCACGTAACGCTGTAATTTTTGTGAAACCAACATGGGGTTTTATTTCTGCAGGCTCCATTTAAAAGAGGTTTTCTGGTGCAGCGAGTCGCCCGTGTTGTTCTGGGGGCTTAAAGACAGACGAGCCTGCATGGGTCCTATTATTAGCTCCTCCTGTGGTTTGATGCTGTCGGCGTGTTTTGAGTGAAGCAGCGAAGGAGTAAATTCATTAAATGTTCAGCGGAGGGATGTTTAACCAGTGTCGTATTTAAAGATTCGGCTTAGCCAACGATCTGGGGAGGTTTCTATCTGGTTTGACCACAAAAAAGAAAAACAAAAGAAGCTGCTGCTCTTCGTTTTCTGCGGTTTTTTCCTCTCTGTTAGCATCAGTATTCAGGCCGAGGCTGATGTTTTATTCACCGCTTGTATATTTCACATTCTGAGCATCAACCACTGCAGGAGAGATGAGCGATGACTCTGTGCTGGGGCGCGAAGCCATCAGCTGCAGGAGGTCGGTCATGATACGCGTAATTAAAGGGGGAACACCGGCATCCGTTTGCTAACGATTATTTAGCAGCTAAGTGGCTTTGCTGTTAGGGTTTTGCATGAAGACATGATTTACAGTTAATGTGCTGCGAGTTTTGCTGAAGGTCATTTTTCCTTTTATTCCACAGAAATGGTGAAAACAACGCTAAGAGTAAATGAAACCACAGTAATCTCTCTCACAGTCGTCCATTTCTACCTCAGGGACGTTCAGGTCGTTTTAATCTTTCATCTGAAAACCAGAATCTGGCTGTAAAATCTCCTCATTCATATTCACACCTACTGTCAGCTTTTGCTTCTCTGCCTGTGATGAAGTTTAATTGCAGATTTAGTGAATTCAGAAGCTCCAGACCTTGGAGAGAGAGAGGTGTTGTTTGTTTGGTACGTCGTTTATTTGCAGGCGGGTTAAAAGGTACCGGTCCAAACTGAAGCTATGGATAAAAACAGAAGAGAACAAAATGCTTTTAATGACATACCGGCACCTAAACTTTACAGAAAAGTCTGATTTTCCTCCTTCATCTCTAAAATGGATCTACTAACCCAGTGATGTCCAAACCTTTTGTATCAAAATGTCTTAGCTGAAATCCTCAGGAGCCAAAATTAGCTTTTCCCCCCACTAAAAAATAAAAACAACGGCCACCACCCCACACTTTGGACACCCCTGATCTAAAGGCTTCCCTTGTTTTCATATTTATCGCTTTGTATTAAAACTCAAATTCAAATTTTTCTGTAAAACATTCAGTCTGTGTAGGAGGGAATAAACGAGGAGAAATGGCGGATTGGAAATGAGAGGAGGAAGAAGTGGAGGAAAGGGCAGGAGAGAGGAAGAGGAGGCATCCTGTGTTCAGTCTGATGTGTAATTTGGTTCACATAGGGACAGGTTGGAGGGCAGACAGAGCAGATTCATGTGATGTGAGCAGACATGTTGTGTGTTTCGCTGTCTGATCCGCGCCCCACGGTGAGCCCACTCGCCCTCCGACCAGCTGCAGAGCCGAGGCCAAACGGCTTGGCGGGGATTATACTCCGATTAATCCCAGCGCAGTGACTTTGCATCATATCGGAGCCGAGCGTGAGTCAGAACTGGAGCGATGCAGCTGTAATCTGGAAAACGTGCTGCATGTGCAGGACGAGGCGGACAGATGCGCCATGTGACGCAGTCGGAGATGCGAGGCTTTTGTCTGATTTTTATTTTTAGTTCACCTCATCTGGGAATTTGATCTCGTCAGAGCTGGTAGAGTGCCCCAAAATTTACTCACATAAAAGTAGCGCTAACATATTTTTACTCAAGTGAAAGTGAAAAGTAGCTGTCCAAGAAATGACTCAAGAGTAAAAATGTATTCGGTAAAAAGTACTGAGTAGCTGATCAAATTATCAACCATTTAATTTTAAAACTTTACATAATCAGATGGACAAAATATGAAGTTAAGTGCAAATTTTTTGTATTTTAATAATCAAAATGACAATAATTCATATAAATAAAAAATAAAATTGGGGGAAAGATTCGTTTTCCCCAAGTAAGTTTCTTTCAATAAAAAAACTTATGAAACTTTAACAAAAACTGCAGGTGTGAGTCTGTCTGGTGAAAATATGTTTGATCTTCATTTAGTGGGTAGAAACTTTATTCAAGTAAGAGTAGAGATATGTCATAATAAAATAAAAAAATAGAAGGATTTTCTTTTTTCCAAAAAGTTACTCCAGTAATTGAGCAAATGTAACTAGTTACTGTGTTTCTGCTGTGGAGCGATGGTATGTAACTGGATGCCTGCACCATGTGTGAGTCGCTGTTTAATCACAGTGCAGCCGCATGTTAGTCACCTTCATGACTTGTAATCTGCGCCTCAGGCTTGATGGGGAGCAGATATTTTTATAACAGACTTAACATGACAAACACGAGTCGGACACCAGGAATACAAGGCCACTAGAAACCAACTGCTCTCTGGGTGATTAGACTTTTTACCGCCATGTTGTTGTAAGCTGGCACAACATATGCATTTCTTTTTACTAGATATGTATTTCTGGATTATGCCAGATTAGAAACTGTTTTAGTGTAGGGAGAAAATGCAAGACAAATGTTTTGTTGTTTACCTCCCATCCAGAAGCCACTTTGCTGCATTATTGTTGGTTGTGCAGGAGGCTCCACTTCTGCTTTTCAAACCTGTACAGTTGTGTAATTGTGCATCTGTTTGCAGCCATTTTTCAGGTGTGAGTGTAAAAGTTGAGTTGGAGGGACGAGATCAGCAGCAGTTTATTTGGATTTAAAGTGACAGAGCCCTAAAACAACTCATTGTGAAAGGAGCTCAAAATAAACTAAAACCTCATTATCTTAGAATGAGTCTGTGCAAAAACAAGTTCAAGGTTATACTAACCTATTCAAAGAATTGCAGTAGGTCACCGTTAAGAAAACAGTGACATGACTTTGATGTACGGCTGTTTCTACTCTTGATGTTGAAATCTGGAAGCTTTTTACAAATGGCACTAAAAGACTTTAGTACTTTTCCTAAATCTTCACAGAGTTCCTCAGACCTTTATATTGTCCTGAGTCCAGGATAATCCATTAAATTCTGTCAAACGATAATATTTTTAGTCAAAGAGGAGCTGCCTGCTGCAGCAAATCAGAAGCACTAACGAAGTTAGAGAAGCTAACCGGCTTTGTTGATATGAAGCTGATGACTTTCTAGGAACATCGGCAGCAGTTAAAGGATAAACCTGTTTGTTTAACTTTAACCATGAAATGAAAGAAATCTACAATAAAAATCTTCCACGGTGGAAACAGAGCAGTTTAAATAAAGCTTTAAAACCATAAAGTATTGACTTTGCTGCTGATGATGAGTGCAAGCCAAATGATCTGGGATAAGCAGAAAACAGATGAAAATAAAACTCCCACAAACTGTGTGTTAAAAAAAGTCAGATCCTACAGCAATCGGCGCATCGTTTACATCGGATTTAAAAGCTTGATGTTCCCTCTCATCCTAAAAGCTGCATTATTTCCACGTTTATATTCCTAACTTTATCACATGAACAGTGTCCCTGTGAAATCATGTGAGGAGCAGATTCCTCTGTCCTGCACACATTCGATGTATAAATCATGTTAAAACACTTAGAGAGTGTGTGTTTCTAGACTGCAGTCCATAAATTATTGATCTGACCTACTTTGACTGAGCCATGCTGATAAAGCCTCTAAAGTGAAACCTCTCAGCTTTAATGAAGGAAACCAGGCCTTACACACATTTACACATTACAGCCTGGCGGTTCGGAGGATCTGGGCTGGAATGATGCTGTTGTTTCATATGATGGAGTCTCAGAACCTGCTTTTTCTGCTGCACCTTCATCATAATGAGGATTTATTAAAGCCAGTTCCTATAAAATTATGTCTTCGTTACTGACGGACAAGATCACAAAGGTGTTCATTAGCTGAGGGCTGAAACAATTAATGGTGATGAAGTAATGAGTAATCATCAACTAATTTAGTGATCAATAAATTAAAGGATACAGACTCAAAAAGGCCATTTGCTGAAAAAACAACTCCTTTTTAAAAATCTTTATAATGATAGCGGCACAAACGTAAAGTTTTACCTCCACATCTCGATTGATTTTTGTAAAGTAGAAGGAGCTGGTTGACCTTTGATGACCTCTGGAAACATTTAATAATATCTTTAAAATAACAGCGGCACAAACTATTTGGCACATTAAAAGTTTAATTTGAAGACTTCACTCAGTTATTAAACGTCTGATTTTTGCTTTTCTCGCGGCAGAGCTTCTGCTTCTGGGTGAGGAGACGTCACTCAGGGGAAACCAACCAATCAGAGCGCAGCTATGTTTCTCATTCCACCTGTGTTAGTTACTTCTCATGTTTAGTTTGCCATAATAACTAAAACAAACTCACCGTTTTGAAGATGTGAGTGTTTGTGATAATATTTGTGCTGCGTGTGAAATGTTCGGCCTTCTAATCAGTATTCTGGGAGTCGTTACCTTTCCGTCCCTCTTCTCTGTCCCCCATTACTGGCAGGAAATCTAATCAAAGCCGACGCTGCAGAGGAGCAGATAGTCAATATGAGATACAGAAGATGTCTATCCGCTGACGCTTTTCAATTTTCCCCTTGTTTATTGGGCCATTCCAGCGCGTGGTGGTATTAATTTTATTTTTTGCTGTGCAGTGGGACTGAATGTTTGGAGGCTGTTTGTTTGAATTCACTATTGATTTTAGCAGAACGGAGCCACTGACTGTTTTTCCTTCTTCTTAATAGTAGTTTTAGCTTTTAGCTTTGAGTAAGACATTAATCCCCATCACTAACGGCGATAAATGAGTCTCAGACGGCGTCGTTTAGGAAAATCTGTTTTCTTCAGACTGCTGATAGACTGTGCTGCTGCTGAACACCTTCAGCGTCCATTTTTCTGTTTTCTGCAGCCATTCCCTCTGACAAACTGCGCTTTAGCTTTTCTTAATGCTTTCGTTTCATCTCACACATTTCTCCTTTATGACGGGTTTAGCTGTTAAAACAGCTCAACTGAGCCCTGATACACTTGTGTGCTCAGTTTTCAAACACACACAAAATCAGATTTTTTTTTTATCTACAAGTTTTCCAAACTGATTTTGATCCAAAATCACAGCAATCGGCAACAAATTCAAGATCCAAAATGCTGCAAACTGAATCGTGGATTAACTTTAATCGTTTAATCAACTACACTGAAAATTATTTTAATTATTCAGTGAGTTTATGCTTCCCCAAGAAAATGTATTAAAAACCAGCATCCAAACTCTGGGCTGCAACTATGATTATTTTATTAAATGATTATTCAGATGATTAATTGGAAAAAATAGCACATTCTACAAATTTTTCTTTTAATCACATCANCTGCTGTGGAGCGATGGTATGTAACTGGATGCCTGCACCATGTGTGAGTCGCTGTTTAATCACAGTGCAGCCGCATGTTAGTCACCTTCATGACTTGTAATCTGCGCCTCAGGCTTGATGGGGAGCAGATATTTTTATAACAGACTTAACATGACAAACACGAGTCGGACACCAGGAATACAAGGCCACTAGAAACCAACTGCTCTCTGGGTGATTAGACTTTTTACCGCCATGTTGTTGTAAGCTGGCACAACATATGCATTTCTTTTTACTAGATATGTATTTCTGGATTATGCCAGATTAGAAACTGTTTTAGTGTAGGGAGAAAATGCAAGACAAATGTTTTGTTGTTTACCTCCCATCCAGAAGCCACTTTGCTGCATTATTGTTGGTTGTGCAGGAGGCTCCACTTCTGCTTTTCAAACCTGTACAGTTGTGTAATTGTGCATCTGTTTGCAGCCATTTTTCAGGTGTGAGTGTAAAAGTTGAGTTGGAGGGACGAGATCAGCAGCAGTTTATTTGGATTTAAAGTGACAGAGCCCTAAAACAACTCATTGTGAAAGGAGCTCAAAATAAAC